TTAAAATATCTATAAATAATGGGACTATTGTTTTAAATCATGATTATACAGGAAATGATGACCGATAAGAAATGACATAGTTATTGCTTGTTTTAGAAAGTTGTTCTAATTTAACTGCTGTACCTGGAAGTTATTGCGCTGATGAAGATATAATATAATAGTATTTATCTAAATTACATGGGTTTTTATTCTTAACTATTAAATTAAATTAACTCAAATATTCAACAGGATAATTAGAAGAAATTGAAAAATAATATTATACAGCCTTCGATACATCTAGACCTTTATATTCATAAGTAATGCTTAAATAATAAGAATCAATTATTGATGATGGAATATTATTTAATAATTATGAAAATTACTATTTCTTAAATAATTATGAATTAATTCATTAACAAGTTGATGATCTTTTCACTTCTTAGGTGGTTAGTTTAATGTCAAAACATAATTATTAATTCAGAAGTTTTGGTTGTTATTTATTTAGAATTGATAACATCTCTGTTTAAGAAAGTATAACACTTCCAAAGCTAGGATAAATTCTGGCATAAGTTGGATCAATTGTATAGGTAATATTTTTACTAAAATATATTGCTATATACTACAATAAAATGTTATTGGAAAATGAATTACTACATGAAATTGTAACAATGTATTATCCAGAAATGAAAAAAATCAAATTGAACTATTTAAATCAATTTGTAAGTTAGGAATAACATGATAATAGTAGAAATAGCTCACTTGACCAAGTTAAATGTAAATATAAGACTTTTATTAAAAGAGCAAAAGAAAAATGTAGATTAGATAATATCTTATATGAAATTTCAAGAATATAATTTATTATTTAACAATAATTTGGAGATTAAATTCTCTAACAGAGTCATTAAATGGGAGGGAAATTGTCCAATCACTACCTTGATCATTAAAATAGTAAAGAATCAAATAGATTAACTGTTAAGCCTGCTAATTCTTTAGATATAGAAAATGATTATGCCTTATTGGACCCTTTAGAGATGTTATAAAAATAACCTTGAAGTTGTTATATAATTATATTTAAATATTTTTTAACAAAATAATTTTAGAGTTGATAAGTAAGAAACTTAAATACATTTGGTAAGACATTTCTTTCTGATATTATACTACCAAATATAAATATAGAAATGAAAGAAAAAATTCGAGAAACTCATAAATATGGCAGATTTAGATAAGTCAATTTTAAAGTTTTTAAAATATTATTCTGAATTTTAGTAGAAAGAGTCTTATTTCTTATTAATCATCTAAAGATAGATTATGAGCACTCATTAATACAGAAGCTTAGGATTGAAGTTGTTCTCTTTTTTTACTAACATTCTCTCTTGATAGTTGATAGAAGGTAACGATTCCAACATTAAAAAATGTAGTATTAGAAATGGAATTAAATTGAATGCTAATTTTCTCAATTCAGAGTACAATTTACATGGAAAACTAGGATAGGCTGTAATTCCAAACATTTAATGGAGATCAAATTAT